TAACCGAACAGAAATGGTAATACTCGAGTATACCGGAATCAAGGTCTCAATACCCAAAAATCCCCGAACAGACTACCGTGGTTCGTTATCTAATCGTCCAGGCCCTTGCCGGCCCGACTCGAATAACTTAGCCACAGGATTGAGCTCATAAGTCATAGAAATCCGAACAGATGCAGATACAGATAACAGATTCAGATACAGATACAGAATAGCAGATTCAGATAGCAGATTCAGACGGCAGATTCAGATAGGCACTCAAAATTGGCATATGAACAGATAAAGAACGAGTGTGATAAAGTACACCCTCGTCTCAAACAAATTTAACAAATTACAGAGCAGAAATCAAGTTAAACAGCAATGAAGGGGAGTGGTACATTCACCAATTCAACTTCAAAAAGTTTCACTTCAGATTGGCCTTAATCGCCAAGAAACCCTAAAATAATCAAAATAAACCAATTGAAGGTTTCATATCTAAAATCGAATAAACGGAATGCACAAGTGAGACATACTAATGCAAGGGTACAAAAACATGATTTTCTTGAAAACGAAAAGTTAGTATGAAGACTTAGGCACAAACAACCCAAAAGCCTTTCATTTCCACAAAAAGGCCAATCCAACTTAAAGAAACCAAACGGCCTAGAAAATTGGGCAGCACTTCCCCTAAATTTCTTACTTTTCCAGCCATTAAGGCTTCATTATATCCTCAAATCAGTCCCAACATTTCACACAAAAGTCATCTCATTTCCCAAAAGCCGTTCACTAGGCTCAAAGTAGTACAAGTACAAAACTTAGCTAGGAAACAACCGAAATGAAAGCAAGCCCCAAAAGAGTCGATAACGAGTCATATAGCCATGCCAACCACAACCCCAGTAAGGTTTCATATGCATAAATAAGCATTAAAGCAAACCAGAAAATCAGGAAATGTAACTCATTTGTTCCAACAATAAAAACAGTTTTGACCTCCTAATGCGGTAATGGCGTCAATTTCACTACGATTATCGGATGGGGGTGTAAGACCCACCGTTTCGAAGCTATGAAACAGGGCCACAACAATGTAGAAGGTCACTCAATCCAGTTCCTGGCCCAACTAGGTCAAAAATACGAAATACTATACCAGAATTCCCAAAACAGGTTTGCAAAACACAGAAAACTGTAATCGGTATATCTCAGTCCATACTAGTCCAAATGCCGAAATTCCAAAGGCATATGTTAGCTAAGACATTCAGCTACATTTCATCAGAAGACACCAACTTCAAAATCCAAACCAATTCCAGTCAAAATGGCCAACTACAAACGCAGTTTTCGCATTCTGTCCAAAGCAGAATAGCTACAGTAATTTCGTCATAACTCACTCTACACTAATCCAAATGCCCTGAAATTTTACAGGCACCTCAAACACATCAATACTACAACTTTCATGTTTTGAGCAAAGTCTAATTCGGCCTTTAACCAGTGATCTAAAACCGGACAGAATTGGGAATAATAAGAACCCTAACTTTCCATTTTCCATCCAAATCCAAAATTGATTGCAAATACTTATCAAACATACCTACTAGAGCCATTATAGTCCATTGCCAATCATCAAAGATGGCCACAACATTCATTTCATATTACACCAGAAAATTCATCACAAAATGGAAAACTTCACCAAAACTCTTCAAATCAAGAAATAAATCATATATTCCAACACTTATGCCACCCTTAAGCACAAAATAACCATCATTAAGTATAAGGAAGTAGTAAAACATCACTTACCTAAGAACAAGAGGTGTAGAGAGGTTGGCCACCTTAGAGCTTCAAACAAATTTCACTACAACCCTTACTAGCACTAGAAGATAGGATTTTATGGAGTGAAATCTAGTCTAAGCTTTTGTTTATGGAAGATTGAACCAAATGGAAGCTTGCAAAATGATGAAGTTCTCTTCCTTCTTGAGGTAAGAGGGCCGGCCATCCAAGGTGAGAAAATGGGGATTTTTTGTGAAATTTTTAGATATTTAACCAATTTTGGTCAAAAGTCAAAAAAAAATGAATAGTGTTCCATAAGCTTCAACCCATAAGATGGTGACACTTGTCACACCATTAATGCAATCCTATCCTTTCTTTTCTCTCTCACCTCAACCATTTCACACACTCTACTTATCTCTTAACACCCGATAAATTTTACACAGTATCCGGAATTTAACCTAATTGGCCGAATTTTTCCGAACTTTTCGCACTAGTGGGTCCCACGCCTGATATACGTTCTTAATTTCTCAAAATCTATTCGTTACAAGAAAAATCATCTAAAAACTATATTTACTCGTAAAATCCACTAAGAAAATATTTCTAAGCCAGAAAATGCAGAAATCATGCCATTAAAGGAAATAAACCCTAAGAAAATTATTAGGGATTTACGGGTTCTCACATCCTGGATTGCAAACCTGCTGACACGCCAATTATGCTAAACCACAAGTTAGGAGAATATCCATATCAGAAACCAACTGACAAAGAGAGATATCAAAGATTGGTCGGTAAGCTGATCTACTTGTCACATACTCGGCCCGATATTGCCTATTCTGTTAGTGTGGTCAGCCGATTTATGCATTCACCCAGTAATCGGCACATGGAAGCTGTGATGAGAATTCTTCGGTACTTAAAGGGTTCTCCTGGGAAGGGTCTCTTATTTTCCAAAAATGGTCATCTTAATATTGATGGTTACACTGATGCCGATTGGGCAGGAGATGCTACCAATCGAAAGTCAACCTCAGGTTACTTTACATTCGTCGGTGGTAATCTAGTTACTTGGAGAAGCAAGAGACAAAAGGTGGTAGCATTATCGAGTGCAGAAGCTGAATTTAGAGGCATGGCTAAAGGTATGTGTGAGCTTCTGTGGCTCAAACGGTTGATGGCCGATATCGGTTTTTCTCCTAGATTTGAGATGAACTTATTTTGTGACAACAAAGCTGCTATCGATATCAGCCATAACCCAGTTCAACATGATCGTACTAAGCATGTTGAGGTCGATCGGCACTTTATCAAGCAGAATCTTGAAGAAAAAATAATACGGCTTCCGTTTGTGAGATCTGAAGATCAACTAGCTGATATACTCACAAAAGCCGTGCCGACTAAGGACTTTTACAACTCACTCGGCAAGTTGGGCATGCATGACATCTATGCACCAACTTGAGGGGGAGTGTTGGATTGAATTGTAATTGGTATCAGATAAGATTCGTGAATATTCTTAATGTTTGAATGTATATCAATTAGAGATATGATAGGAATGATTGTTATCTATTAGTGGTTGATAGATATCTGTTAGTGGTTGATAGGTGAGAGGATAATCAATGACCTTCTTGTGTAAAGCCTATAAATAGGCATCGGTACCATCATTAGTCTGCATCAGAGAAATAAAGAAAATCTTCCCAAAACTCTCTCTCTAAATTTCGTTCCTTCAAACAAAATCTATATATAACTTGCTCGTGCTCAAGCCCTGGATGAAAGAACAATAGACCACTTTCGAGGAAAAAGGGTTCATTGTGTATCCTCTTGCCATGAAATATTCTTATAGATATAGAACTCCTATTGTAAGATTTTTTTTTTATTTTTTTATATATAAAGTTAAAAGTCTTTTGGATCTAGTTTCTATCCCCACAAGCAAAACGATACTCAATTTTGAGTTTCATACGAAAAGATATGCCTTCGGATTTACTAAAAGTGCGATGGTACTGCAATCGGGATCCCACCCGAAGTATTTTCAGCCTCAACTTTAGGTCTTAGCCCAATGCATTCTACAGGGAGGTGCCATTTTGAGCCCTTTCTCAGCAGTTCACGTTCAAACTAGGGTGTTCACGAATCTGACTCGCCAGCGGCTTGTGTACGAGCTCGATCAATATCGAGTTCGAGTCGAGTTCGAGCTAATTAAGTCGAACTCGCGGTTCAAAAACATTAAACTCGTCGCTCGCAAGCTCAATTATATATATTTTTTATTTTTTTTATTTTTTATTTTAATAGTAAAATTACACATATATTCTTAATATTTTATTATTTATTAAAAAATTATTATTTTATTCATTTTTAAAAATATTTATTTATTTTTTATTTTTAAAAAATAAATTTATTACTATTATTTTTTATTTTTTAAGCTCGAGCATGACATTTTGACTATGTCGAGCTGAGCTCGAGTTTCACAAAATTAACTGGAGACTCTGCTCGATTAGGCCAAAGGTCGGCTCGACTCGGCTCGTTTGCACCCCTAACGAACCAAATCAATCACTTTCCTTCTCAAACCCATTTTAACTCCAATATCATCATTTTTGCAGCCTAAATCAAGCCGAAACGACAACAATTACTCGATAATAAAGTTCTAAAGAGCAAATGGACAAAATGGTCACTAAACTTTTTTTATGTCCAAAACGAATATTCATCCAAGTGAGAGGCCCACTCAACTAGTTGATTTATCGGTAGAAGGCGATTAAATTAACCATCCGATGTGAATATGTAAGGGACATAAAATTACACTTTTAAAAGTGAGGGACAAAAAAGTTATTTTACAAAATATGATGATAAATATGAATAGTTAATTTTACTACAAAGATAAGTGTACAGCTTATGTTTGGTCAAGACTAGAGAATCTATCTCTAAATCAGACCGGTGCACCATTTTAGATACCTTTGGCCTGCTCTAAACCTGTGAAAAATTGTAAACTTGATAAGTGGGCTACTTGACCGACTCAGATTGGATTTGAATGTAGATAGCTGTTTTACCTTTTAACGGTGAGTAAAGATTGACAGACTAACAGCATGTTCACCCAAAGAAGTAAAAGCTTGTTATTTGCTTGAAGTAAACCAAAAAGATGCCAGTCAAATGCATTTTATTTATAATTTAAATTTATATAAACTTCGAACACGTTACAATCTTATGGTCTGGACTTATTTCTCTCATCTATCAAGAGAAGAATTAATGTTAACTTATTTCTTGACCACTTACAAGTTAACTCGAACGAACAATCAAAAGAGAGATAATTATTTCTTGCACACCACACCACGGCCATCAAGCCCACTTGCACATTTCAAATCAGAATACCGATCAACACTCTTTGAAGAGGTAATTGAAGGACTTCCGTGGAATCTTGCACCTGCACAATCCGTTGAAAAGAGATTTGAAGAAGCAAATTCCTTTTCTCCACCCAAAACTGGCATGTCAACTCCCATCTTCACCCTGCTAACATAGTTACTAGCATAAGTTTGACCCAAAACTCCAGTGACTGCACCACTCAGCGAGTAAAACTTGAAGCCCAGATCAAGATGTGCGAAGCAATCTTCATCAGTGATCCCATACTTGTGAATCCATGAATCCTTCTTGGTGATATGCACGACAGTTGCCGTGATCTGGAAGTTCCCTTCAACTTCAATGATCACAGAATTCGTGTCGTGAGACCTTGTGATGGAAACGCCAGGTGTTGTAATTGGTTGCCATTTAGCACCTTCACCGTCGGTTAAGTATATTGGTTGTCCATCAAAGGCCAAGCCTAGATGATCGACTGCATTATCCCAAGTTGCTGTCTTTTTGGCACCGACATAGATTTGATGATTGTCAAAAAGAATACCAAGAGATTGTACCCATGTGAAGTCCCTCTTCATATTTTGATTCCTCCTTCCAATGAAGTGAGCATTGACGTGCAGATTAGAATCGGTAACTATGCAGAAATCATGGTCCTTCTTGCCATGGAAGTAGAAGGTAAGCCCATCAGCACCAATAAATCGCGGATCTTGGCATACAGCTCCTGGCCTATTGCAGTCTGCTCATGTATTTTAGCAAATGCGGTATGTTATAAATCTATCAAGAACTTAATATGCAGTTTTTCTGGAGGCATCAATATCAAATTACCCTGAATATAAGATTAACCAAAAAGTTGTACTAGTTGCCAGTAATTATATTACTTGACTCAATTTTCAGTGAATACCAAGTCTTTTAGGTCTCAAATAAAAGGTTGTAATTGTTATGCATGAACTTTCTCCTCCCTCTTATTCTTTTTGGTAAATTACCAATGTATTGATTTAATATTATTATTTTCACTTCGGTGATTAGTAGCTCCATTGTGACAGAGAAAAATTAGTATTTTCAGTTGTTTTTGTCACTCTTACATTGTCAGAATTTGCTCTTCTTGCTTAATCGGAAATTCTCATAAATATTAACCCCTCTTGGCACACTCTGCTCAAAGACTTGGCTACTAAAAGAATAAAAGTAACATGAAATATCTGTACCTCTACTCTTCTTATTTAGTGATGTAAAGTGTAAACTTTTACTATGTATGATTAACTGTTGTGGTAATAGCTCCATAGGCCAAAGCTTCTGGTTCTGCATGTCAACATGTGCAATCTACGACTTTTTTTCTTTCTTTTTTTTTTTTTACGTAATCCAGATATTGTTATAGCCGAGATCAACGTTTCTTCTTGTAAATCCACCATTTACATGAGAAGAAAAACATGTAAATGCAATAAAATTCTGTGCAGAATAAGCCAAACACATACAATTGCATGAACTCAACTCCCTTTTTGAGGGTTGTAGGCTCTGAAGTGAAAAATTACTCACATGATTTATCCTCCTCTTCCTCCTATACTTTCTAGGGAAACTAATATTTGGATGGCAAACAATCTTTTTTTTTATTTTATTCACTAATAATTCATGTGTACAATGGGGAAACTCAATAGTTATAATAAGTCAAATGGCTTCGAGTTCAACTAATTAATATGGCAAATGGCTGACAGGTCAATTATAAGTAAGTTGGTAAGAATGTAAGAAATTAAATGTTTTGGCAGAGTATAAAATAAGGAAAAGGAACAGAAAGGGAGGGAAGAGAGGGGGGGGGTGGGGGAAGACTTACTGCAAACAGGGCTGCAGGTGACACAGTCAACCTCACATTGGTCTGGGCAAGAGCTAGGACAGCGTTGCTCCATGCGGTAGCATCGGGTGTAGTTTCTGTTCTTGCAGTATACTCTTTTTCCAGATACTTCTGGTGGAGGAGTAGGTGTAGATGGAGGAGGGCTCCCAGTTGGAGTTGGTGGAGGAGAAGAGCTCGGAGTTGGTGTTGGTGGAGGAGGTGGGATGGAAGTTGGAGGAGGAGGTGGTGCAGAAGAGCTCGGAGTTGGTGTTGGTGGAGGAGGTGGGATGGAAGTTGGAGGAGGAGGTGGTGCAGAAGTTGGAGTGGGAGGAGGAGGTGGAGTGGGAGGATGTATTATCTCCGGCGGTGGAGGAGGCAGCAGAGACGGAACATCACAAACAGGTTGACATGAAGCACAGTCAACATGACAGTCTCGAGGGCAAACATCAGGGCAATGCATATGGTCATGGAAACAAGGGGAAGCTCTATCTTGACATTGCACCATCTTATTCTTGGGACCATTAGGTTGAGCCTCGGCCACAACCACCACAAGGACGAGGACAACACATGCAAGAAGGCGAATCATGGCCTGAGCCATTCTGGTTTTGATCGAATTACTAGCTAATTATTACAACGTAGGATCAATGTAATAGGATTTTGGTATATGCAAGTTCGAACCTGGTTTCTTTTATAGGCTTCAATAAGGGAACTACAAAATTGAGTATGAAGTTGTGTGACCTTTAATCTTGCATGCATGGCTAAATAATAATACCTTCTTGCCTTGAGAAGTAAAGTGCTCCTCACTTCAAGCTGCTTCTATGGTTCCACATGGGCTCATAGTCATGTATGTCAACCAAATGATCACGAATTTCCGGAGTGAAAACTTGAGATATTACTTCTTTTTATTGTGGTACAAAGTGCAAACCTCTGCATAAAAAGGTGACAGCTTAGCACTAATTAGAAGTCAATTCGGAATCAAAGCAATCAATTAATTCATTGTACAGGACAGAGTCTTTCGTCGCAGGTTTCGGACCTTTAAGCTGTTGATTCTTCAAGTAGCATCAACATTTCCGAGAACCCTTTTGACCCTTCTAAAATAGTGGTTTGTAAAATACTAAGCCGACACTATAGCTGGGCTAAGTAGTTTTGTGGGAAAATATCCATGCAGAATTGGCATTGCAGACCAAAAGCTTAAGAAACTACAACTAGTAAATAGTAATGCGCATGGCCTAAAGATTGGATCTATTAGATGTAATAAATTTGTAGGTTTTCTATATAAAAAAATTTCTCTTTTTTTTTATACGATACACCTATACTTATCTATACTAGGGGAGAGGGACCTAAATAGGTCTAAGGAAAAATCGGGGTTGAACCATCACCAAACCAAATAGATGCATAGCACCCATCTAAAAAGACACTTAAAGTAGTAGACCATATATAGTGACAATCGATAGGAAATAAGATTTGAATTTTTAATTTTCCATCCCACCAAACCTTACAGGCTATGGTGGTGAAAAAACTTCTCATCTCCTTACTTTAAGAACTTTGACTCAGTCCTGCACTTCCTCACTACGGCTGCCAAGCACGTACGCACATACACCCAAGACAGGAAGAAAGAACAAATGATATACGTATGAATCAGTTAGCAAAATATCTATTCATCAACATCGCAATTAATCTCTAGCTTGACACTGTTAACTCGGATTCTAAGAAGTAAAACTTCTGATTTCAATTTAATTAAGCTTAGCAAAAATTTTGATCCTTCAAGGGATGGAGGATTTTCGAAAATTGGTTCTTGCTTTCAAAGCTTTCGAAGACAAAGCCCTTTTAGTTTTAAGTTTTTGAACCTGCAGTAATTAAAACAAATTTGCACATTTTTTAAATTCAAATCATGAACACGTGACATATATCCAAAATTATTAATAGAAAGAAACCATTATATTGTCACAGTATAAAAGGTTAATTTTTTCAAATAACTATATAAAGTGTCTAATTATCCGCCCTCCACCCCCAAAAAATAATAAAAAAGAAAAAAGAAAATATCCGGTGCAATATAAGATGGGTGATTAGTCATATTGGACTTCTACAAAGCTGAGCACATTTGGACTTTCTCAGCCAGTCGATGGTTCTTGTACTATGAGTAGAGCACGTTAGATCAGCAGGAAGAGAGTCTCCATATCATAACATGGTTTACCAGATCAGAAAGTATGTCAACAGGGACTGGGAATGGCAGCGACAGCATGCATGGAGGGAGGCCAATTGATGTGCAGATTGGCTATCAAAACGGTGGATTAATCAGGAGCCAGGATTGCAAATCATCACAGAACCACCTAGGGAGCTTAGAATGTTGTTAGGAGCAGAAATGATTGGGGCTGCAGCCCCACGTTTAATCACTGTTTAAGAGGCTTGGCCTTATCCCTTGTACACGAAAAAAAAAAAAAAGAAATACTTTGATGGGTGAGTTCCGATAAAACCGATTATTCAGAGTAATGAAACCGATTTCTGGCACCAAGCGCTTCAGATAACATGAAGCCCGAATAAGGTTGTACAAGGTGACATGGTCAGCCGAAAAAGATAGATTCGGATGAAATATATGTTTATATACCATCTGATACGGTCATGCCAAGAACAAGGAACAAAATACCAAATTGTCTTTAGTCAAGTAGTTCCAAATTCTCCAGAGTATCCTGTTATTATCTTCCGGACAGTAGCAATCCCAGAAAACAGAATAGCCATTGTTAGAAGTCAGGATTCTCGGGTAAGATCCCGCATTTCTACAACTGGCCGGCACAATCTCTGCAGATTTACTCTAGAGTCTGCATTGCTCTATAAATAAAGGGCTACTTTTTTCATAATGAACATTGTGAAGTGAGGGGAAAACATAGTCGAAGATAACTTAGACATGGGGTATAGAACTTTGTAATTCATTTTTCTTGCTTCTATTCTAAATTTATCATCAAATTCAAGTTGAATTCAAGTTCCATTCATGGCTTCCCAGCTGGGGTCTATCTGGGCTTAGGAATTGGTGGACACTTTAGTGGTGGCGGAGTCGGTAACCTGATCAGAAAGTACGGGCTAGCTGCTGATAATGTCATTGATGCTTGCATCATTGACGCTAATGGTCAAATTCTCGATAGTCGATCGATGGGAGCTGATCTTTTTTGGGCCATCAGAGGAGCTGGAGGAGCATGTTTTGGAGTCATAGTAGCATGGAAAATCAAGCTTGTGCATGTTCCACCTGTTGTTAGTGTTTTTACAATATCTAAGGCTTTAGAGCAAGCAGCCATAGACCTTATTCACAAATGGCAATATTTAGGACACAAGCTAAGTGAAGACTTGCTCCTGAGCATAGTTAAAACATCAGGAAATGATGGAACAATCCAAGCCACATTCAATCTCTCTGCTCCTTGGAAAAGCTGATCATCTCCTTAACATGATTGACGACAGCTTTTCCGAAATTCATTAGAAAAAAGAAGATTGCTTAGAGATGAGTTGGATTGAGTCAGTCTTCCATTTTTCTGAGTACCCAGGAGAGGAAACTATAGATGCAACTAAAGAATTGAGTAGCTCCTGCACCTCATATGCATTTCAAGAGCAACTCAGACCTGGTTCACAACACTCTACCTTATGAAGCTGTAGAAGAGTTCTGGAAATGGTGTTCAGATATCAACTCCTCCGGGCTAGTCATACATTTACATCCTTATGGAGGAAGAATGAATGAGATACCAGAATCAGAAACCCCATTTCCACACAGGAAAGGCGTTCTATATGAGCTACCACTTGTAGTGATGTGGATGGAGGATAAAGATGGTGAATCTTTAGAGAATTACTACAACAAATGGATAAGAGGGTTGTACGAGTTTATGGCTCCTTGTGTGTCAAAACGGCCAAGAGGTCCAGAGACCTTGATTTGGGTTCCAATAATGTCATTGGCAATAGCTATTCTATAGCTCGGGTATGGGGATCAAATACTTCAAGAATAATTTTAAGAGCTGGCACTTATTGAAGGTATAGTCGATCCTGATAACTTTTTCTATCATAAGCAAAGCATTCCACCACTTGCTTCCCCTGCAGAAAGAAGTGGAATGCGATAATTCTGATCTACCATATCAATGCTCTTCTGAAGTGTCTTGTTGTTTCTTTTTTTTTTTAATTCTTTTATTGTAGGATGTTTGTGGTAAATTATTTGCCCCTTCACCTGTAGTTGACATATGTCAAAATAAATGTTTCGTATCTTTCCAGCTCTTTTCCAAAGATGCTGGTACGAAATTCTTGCAGCAATTATCTTTATATTATTCCACACGAAAGCCAAAATATTGCAGCAATTTCTGGTTCAAGAAAAAATATTTATTGGAAAATTTCTGGTTCAAAAAATCGGTGCTCTATAACAATAATTCAATCAAATGAAAAAAATAAATAAATAAAATGAAAAAAAGAAACAAATGCAAGACCTAGGTCTGACAGTTAGGGATGGAAAGGGTGTCGGAGGTTTTAAAAAATGCAAGACATTAGTTCATTGTAATACTCAGCTGACAAGGCTACCATTTCCATTCCATTAAGACCCTTTGCTGCAAATTTCGAAATTAGATCACTAAGACTTGCAGAAGGACTTAGATGATTTCAATTTGGCTGGAAGTTGCATACGTCAAAAGAAAAGTTTTGTATCCGTCAAGCTCTTTGATTCGAAGCCTTGCTGGTAAGAGTTTCTTGCAACAATTAGATTCTAATAAACACGTATTGGTATACCAAATTTGAGTGTCGGAATAATAGAGAAATTAGGGTGGTCAAAAGTCAAAACCAATTCAATTTCTAATTCTGTGATGATAATGATATTGAGTATATTATTAGCAGACAAGACAGTGAGAATAACAAATGATTGTATTGTCTGAGTTGAAAAAAAAAATAATACAAGAAAATTCACTTGTACACGGGAATAGAGCGAAGATGTACACTTGCAAGTTACAAGAAGAACAAATGAATGAAAAACTAATTATATTTGGACGGACAAGATAAGTTTATTGGACGTAATTATTCTTCCATGTGGACTCCGAAGGGAAAGCCATTCAAATCAGAATTATTTATAGTTCACAGCACTGCATATTTTCCTTATGATACCATTCTGGCCGGTAAGGGTTCAATATCTCCCATCTTCACCATGGCAGAAGCGAAATCGGACAGAAAAGTCCTAGGATTTTTGCTGTATTCGGAGACAATGCTGTCGGTTGATCCCCCACTGAAAAGGACTTGGTCTGATATAAGAAGGCCTTTCTTCCGCATCAAATTCTGAAGTAATTATTGTCAAATGAATTTGGTGTAACCAAATCAAGTGGTGCCAGCTTGCTATCTCCCACTCCATTGGCTGCTGGGCATTGGCGCCTACGGGTGCTTGCAAATCCAGCATCAATATCTGTTCCATTGCTATATATTCTGTTGCGAAATACAAAGCATTGAGCCTGGCCTATGGTGTGTGATCCTGCATTTTGTTTTTTGATTGGAGATTTAGATACTTCGAAAATGTATTAATTTTCTGTAAACATATTCAATGCAATTTTAACCATTGTGTGTATCCTCACCTGACAAGGCAACCATTTCCCTTGC